GCAGGAGAACGAGCCGACGGGCCCAAAGACACAGGAGCCGTGTTTTACGAGTTTGTGGCCGAAGGAAGTCAGACTTCTTCCTTGTCCTAGGGTTTAATCTTGTCTATTCTAAGCTTCTCATGCAATTTACTGACGTGAAGGATGATAAAAATTTACGGATATTTACGGTATCTTGGGTCTTTTCATGTCAATTCGAAGGTGGACAATGAGAGGGTCGCTGTGCACTGATTCCAAGAGAGGTCCAATGTCCTTTGAAAGAGTTGCTTTATTTGTCATAGATGTGGAAGTGTGGAATACGCAGACAACCCACAGTTATCTAGATGACATTAGCTTGCTATGTGGAGAGTAAGCCGTTTGTGCTACTTCTAGACATGGGCTCTCTCGCTAGTCCGATTTCTGCAGGAGAACGAGCCGACGGGCCCGAAGACACAGGGGCTGCGTCTTAAGAGTTTATGTTTTCCTTGTCTCACTCCCCCGAGTGTATGTTTTTCTTAACTTTGTACTTTTACAGTGGACCTAGTACCTAGTTTGTTCGTTTGGCAGAAGGGCAAGCTGCTGTATGTATGTCATCAGTGTTTTGTGCTTTCCAAGAAGTTGGATGTTGCAGAGCCTCCATTTTGTACCGCTTTCCTGTGTATGGGCATGTGATAAGATCTATTTCCCAGTCCATATGTATTGCATACTCTAATTCTGCCAACGTTGACCCCTAAACCGCCCCAATGTAGGTAAATATGTCATACATGGAGTGTTTGGGCTTGTTAACAAAAGTTGCCAAACGAACAAGACCACCGGAACATGCAGAGACAGATCGCGCGCGTTCGAGCATTCTCGAAGGAGACAGAGACGCCACAGGTGGAAGACAAAGACGCTGGAACGAACGAGGTTAGGGGACCGCCACACCTTTTGGCCGTTTTAAAATAAACCAGTTGTGATCAACTGTTTTTTATTGCTGTTCTTGTTCACCTTTAGGTGTCTATCACACCCTTTCGCAACGGTTCGCAACTGTTTTGACCTGAGACGAACAGCTGTTTTGATACCTATAGTCGATCCGATCCATCAGACTCACTGACCACACAAAGGTATTATAGTATCAAAACACATCAAAACACATCTTGACACAAAACCCATGTTTAAGTGACATCGCCGACCGTACACCGCATTTCCTTTGAACTTGTATCATGCAATCCCAATATTGACATGCACCACGTATACACAGCGGTCCTCTCCCTTCAGCGGTCCGAAAAAAGGCGAACGGTGGCCACGCACCCGTCCCGGTTCTCGTCGGAGGCGCCTTTG